TATCGATTATTTTTAGGCACTGCAAACGTTAGGATGACAGGCAGTATACTCCTGTCATATATTGCATAATTTTTGTATTTATTATATGTGGTATATTTCGACGAAAAACCACTTAGGTTATAAATCTAGTTTTTTTTCGCCATCACTTCACCATTTCAATAGAAATAAGATCGTTTGTTTTATTTACATTTCACATCACTTAAACTAAGTACTCGTCTGATTGATTTTACTGAACTGAATTTAAAAACGCGGTTGTGGTTTCGAGCGCGCATCATAAGATGAAATTACACTCGGCATTATAATTAGCTGATTGAGGAGAAAAATCCCAGTAACCACGTTTGAGGCAATATTCGTTCATCGACTGACTCATTTTGTGTGCGCAAAAATATAGAACATAAATCAGACATTAGTTTTTTATTAATTAAATTAGCATATTACTTATGCGAAATCATTTGCAATTTATTGTTGTACACTTTAGATGAACATATCGGCGATATACACGTAAATGTTGTAGGAAGGCTACAGCAGCAGCATACAAAAACGATTTGTAGTAGAACGTCGACAGATTGAAAACACACATTAAAAGTGACTGCCAATCGTTGAAAGCCAATCACCGACAGTCGTTGACATTGACAAGTTTCGTTGTCGCGTCCAACTAAAACGTAAACGCTGCCATTAAGCCGGTTGCTTTGTTTATAGCTTCCGAACTGCAYGAAGTGGAGTTTCCTAGCGCATTTTTTACTGGCGCGTTCTAGCGCCTAAGCGAGTACGCGCAGCTGAGTCTGGTGAAGTAGCCGGCGTTGAACGCTTGTTATGCGACRGCTAACGCYACCGGCACCGCTGAGCGGTCACCTGCTCGAAATCGCTTATGCGAACAGCGCGAATACCCGCCGTAACTACTAATGAGCTTGCGYGAAAMATCGATGACAGCAGCTCGYGCTGCTTGGCGTCTGCTGCCGCACCGCGCCAACAGCTGCTGAATACGGCGTAGGTGGTTATCAGCGTAACTGCGAAGTATTTGCATATGGCTTGTGTGGTGGACGGGAGAAAAAAATGTGTTTAAAAATGAACAGACAAAAATAATAACAATATTCAGCAGCGAAAGGGTACGCGTACGAATCGGAAGTTTCGAAGGCGGCGGGGTCAGTGACGCCAGACGCGCTCACCTGCCAGTCAATTCGCGGCGTGGCAGTACTTAAAACGCTTCGAARGCGCTCGRTGGCATCATTGTGCCATTAGAAACTCAAGCGTGAACAGCAACAGGCCGCGACAGGAAYAAAAATTTGCAAATAATATATTTTTAATACTTAAAAAAATATAGAACCAGCTCAGAAACAGGATGAAATACGTGCTAACTTTGTGCTTGACCGCCGGCTTCGTTGCCGCACTGCAAGCGGCCACCGTGGCGCCTTCAACGGCAGCACCCGTAGCCAATGTTGCCCCAACCACAGTCGCAGACGACGTAGCTAACGACCTTATGAGTGCGTAGTATTAATATTGAGTGTGCTCTTAAATTCTMATATGCTCTTATCCTTTAGTTCCTGACGATTGTTACCAGCCAAGGGAAATCGGTCGCTGCTTTGGAATATTTCCTCGTTTTTCTTTCAATTTGAACACTAAGCGTTGTGAAAAGTTCGTTTATGGCGGTTGCGGTGGCAATGCGAACAATTTCGAGAGCAAAGAGGCTTGCGAAAAATTATGCCGGCCGCAAAGTCACGATGAAGTATCAGACGAAGAGAGCTCAACTACAGCGAAAGCTGACGAGGATGATGAGGGAGCTGATAAGCAGATTCCCGCTGATGAACCAGTTGCAGCTTAAAGCCGCTGAGTATCAACTTCCGAAAGAGTTTTTTTTTTTAATTTGTCTTTAGTAGTATTTAAAGCCGTTTATTTACAAAATACTGTTATTAAAAATTTTTGTGTGCAATTGTTGTGAAAATATGACTCACTATATTAAATGAAAAGTTGAATTACATTAGGAAGAAATAATAAGTTTTATAAGTATATATTGTCAAAATTCTAACCTATCTGAAATAACAAGTTGATGGCAATTTTAAGAAAATTGGATCAAAAAGAGAGAAAGCAGAGTTTGAAATATATATATATTATTTGGACTAGTTCTTATAAAACATCCAGAGATTATCTAGTGACTGATGTTCAGAAAATACTAAAGTTATTCTCCAGCCTGTTGAAAGGCAGTGAAAGCATAACACTAGGAGACAGTGAACCCGATTCCCTAATCGATGACAATAGAGGTGACGTTCCATTGCCCGAACATGAAGAAGCTTGAATAGCAATTACATGTCTGAMGAACAACAAAGCGGCTATTTAAATACGGCGGCAAAGAACTAATAAASAGCATGCATCAGCTTTGCAGAATATGGTCTTGCTTTGCCTAATCTACAAAAACGGGAGACCCGATAATATGCGGCAACCACCGTGGGATGAGCCCCTCAACATCGCCTATGAGGTTCTATCGGATTAGACCTTATTAGTGTGGCTTTAGGTCTGGAAAAACAACAACTGACCAAATCTTTTAAAGGATCATGAAAAGAGAATCTACCGCAACACCAAAAAAGGAGTTGCCTTTATGTCGCTGTGTCTGAATTTGGTAGGCCCGCAGAACTAAGACGGCTGTGTAAACTGACCTCTCGAGTCGTTCGGTATTAAACGAGGTTGCAGACAAGGCGACTCTCTTTCGTGCGATTTCTTTAAATTAGTTACTGGAGAAAATAATTCGAGCTGCATAGCTAAATAGACAAGGCACAATCTTTTATAAGAGTTGCTGGCATAAGCCGATGATATTGACATAATGTTGAGGCCAAATCCGCGTCGTTAGTTCCGCCTTCTCCAGACTGGATAAGGAAGCAAAGCAAATGTGAATATGTTTGGTAGTGAACGACGATAACACGAAATAACTCCTATTTTCAAATTCATAGCTTCGAAGTCATATTAACGCCAACAGTAATGTCAGCCTCAAGTCAACGGGTGCTACTTCAGACTGAGTAGGGAACTGAGAAGTAAAGTTCTCTCTCGACGAACAAAGACCATACTCTATAAATCACTCATTATTTACGTCCTGCTATTAGGGCAGAGACATGGACGTCGACAACATCTGATGATTCGACGTTACGAGTTTTCGACAGAAAGGTTCTGCAGAAGCAGAGAAAAAGGAAGACCTCTACTCCGTTGGAAAGACCAAGTTGAGAAAGACCTGGCTATAATTGGAATCTCCAAACTGCGAAAACGAAGAACGACTGGCGCGCTGTTGTAAACTCGGCTATAACCGCATAAGCTGCGTCTATAAGCAAAACTCTATTATTTATCCAACACATGGATTTTGTTATCTGTATCTCGCGTTGTATAAATGGGATCGGGTCATGTTATAAGTCGTTAGAAAGATAAGATTTCGTACTAAAACAAATTTTGAGGCAGTTTTGTGATTTCTTGTTCGAGTACGCTTCTTCGATAAAGGCGAAAAGGCTAGTCAGACAGCCGAGAATGTTGTGCGGAAAAAAATCAAATTGGGCTGGATACAATAAAACACTCAAAGTATAGGTGCTACACGAACACCAAAAACCTTAATGACCAAATTCCCATCTATGAATCGTGGCTGAATCGCAATAAAATCGATCTGTTTCTGAAGTGGATGGTTACTGCTAGTGAAGAGTGGGTCACTTACGACAACGTCAAATGAAAACGAGACGGTTAGGAAGGTTTTGCTATTTGTTTGGTGGAATGGCAAGGAATAATAAGCGCTGTCAACCATTTGAACGTCTAAAGGAAACAATCGCAAAAAAGCGGTCAGTTTTGGTCAATAGGAGAGGAATTGATTTYCATCGGGATAATGTAAGCCTTACACATCGATAGTGACTCTCTTTCTTTTTGATATTCTTTTTCCATCCATCTTATAGTTGTGACCTGAGGCCAAATGATTACTACTAGTTCCTTTCCATGGCTTTTTTTTAGTGAAAAGTTCACTTCAAGAGAAGCTTTAAAAAATCGAGTATCTTAGTTGTTTGTATGAAAGTAGCATTATATAATTACCTTCAAAATGGCAACAAGTTATCGATCAAGAATCAAAATGGTGTATATTTACCCTAAATCGCATAGTTCTAACTATGCCAAATAAAATTTTAAATTTAAAGCAAAAATAATGGATTTCTTTTTACTAGACCTTAACATAGTATATGGACCTCTATGAATATACAGATATGTGTGATATCAGAGACCACTGATAAGATGTTTCTATATATTTTTACATGACATCAARTCTATAAATGCACCGTTAACGAGCGGTTGGCTAGCAAGCGGAGAGAGAATCAAACGGAAATGTGTCAACTCGAACTTCGATGACTTCTAATAGTTGTAATTCTAGTATAAATAAGTAATATTAAATGTYTCATATGTATCAATATTATCTACGAATCAGTGAGGTACGAAAGTACAACGGGGTTTTTCTGGACGAAGAGTAAACTTTCGCCAAATTAATATTTTTTCGCTCATCATAAACACAATGTTAATACAGAATGAAATCTATGGTTCAAAAATATTTTGCAGTGCTATTTACATATACTTATATGTGTGTATGTATAATTTTTGTAAATGAGTATGTAGAGTTTATTCTGTGCGAAATAACCCAAACRTTTGACTTCATATGATCACCTATACATGTAAGTATGTATGTATGCGCATCCCGGTATATACGTGAAATCCGTTAATGAGTTTTGTCAATGCGAAAAAGCAACAACAAAATCTGAATTGTATTTACATCGCTTATAAGTGAATACTTTTATTAAACACGCTTAAATTCACATACGCACGTACATACACATGTGCATATTGACTTAAAATTTCACATGAACACACCCAAAAACCCTAGTACAAGTACAAATAGATATACATACATATATGTACAAACAACATTATAGARAGCAGATAATGACAGAGCATACATTGTTAGTTTGGAGTACTTCAAGGGTCGCACATTAACGATATAAATTCAGTTCGAAGTGAAGCTTGAAGACAACAAGTTTAAGAGTTAACGAATTAAATTGTGCTTAAGACATCTACAGACAAAGAAAAGCAGCAAAATGAACTTCTTCGCAGTGATTTTGGCTGCTTTTGCAGTGATCGGCTGCGCGCTGGCGCTTAAGGATCGTAAGTGTGCTCTACGTTAACCCTCAGCTAGATGGGAAGTCAGAGCGTTGTAAAACACTAAAATTTAACTTTCTTGCCATTCCTTCAGCCATCTGTGGTCAGGAGCACTCGGCCGATGGCAATGGATTGATCAAGTGTGCCGCTTATGTGCCCTCGTGGACCTTCGATGCGGCCAACAACAACTGYTTGAGCTACGTTTATGGCGGTTGTGGTGGCAAYGACAATCGTTTCCCCACGCAGGAAGCTTGCGAGCAAAAGTGCAAGGAATAAATGGGACGAGGAAAAGTGTGCGTGTCTTATTGTGGGACACAATTGTAGGGTCTGACTGTAATGTGATATAATTAAAATTTSGAAAATAAAAGTAGCAAAAAATATTTCAAGAAAAATATGGAATTGATTTTGTAAAAATCTAAAATAATTGACTGAAGTTGATCTTTATATTCACGAGCAGTGGGTAATTTACGCGAGGTTTTCCATTGTTTAGTGAAGTGGATAGAGAGCGGAGAGAGAGTGAGAGTTGGTTGTGGTATGGTGGTATGGAACGTTATTGATACTTATTGATGTTCTCACGACAACCGGTTCTACAGCTTTCTCCAATATTTATATATAWAGTTAAGGGAACATTTTATGCCGTTACAACAACAGYTAAAACWCAGAAAATACTTTCCTGACTTACTRTTAACTTAGTGATGCTTTGSTGTGGAAAATTCATGAAGGCAATTATACTTTGAATACAAAAAAGGAAATATTGAGCGAAGTTCTCGCTGGTTCCAATTTAGTATTTATTTATGCATGGAGGCGTGTTTCAGGGAAGATATAGACCGAAGCCGAAGGTATTAAAAGTTCTGTTAGGTTGGAACTGAGTATCTTATTTTCATTCAGATTAAGAGGATGTAATGAAAGTAGTATGTGATATAAACTTCGGAGATAAGAATGGGCCGTTTTGTGTGTCGTCAAAGGATCGAGAAGCATGCTACATATCTAAATATTTATCGGTAGATTGAACAAATGAACGGAAGGAAGGACGGCTGAATGGGTGTACACATGCATATTAGGGAATTAAATGTACTCGTCATTCTGAACATGAACTTCAAAGACCCTTTGATGAGCCCTGTCTCTTATACACATCTAGATGTGTATAAGAGACAGGGTGTACACATGCATATTAGGGAATTAAATGTACTCGTCATTCTGAACATGAACTTCAAAGACCCTTTGATGGGTTTAAAAGGGAGGCGCATTAGCCAGTATTAGGCACAATGAGTTTCCGGATTCATCATCCTTCGGGCATTCTCTACATTTTTCCCAATCCACTTYTTCCATTTTCTAAAGATGGCATCTTAAGGTTGCTTCTGTGATATCGCATACAAGACGCGGATACTCTTTAAAGTATGTTTCAATGATCAGTAAATGATCAACGGTACAACTAAGTAAACCTAACCATGTCCGTCTGTCTGTATGTCTCCATATGCGAAAACTAGCCAACCAATTTCCAGTTATCAATCTGGTGCCCAAAAAATTAAGTAAAAAATAAGATGACGTTGTATTTATTTTGAAAATTCTTTATTTATTCTTCCAAATCGATTTCATCCCCTTCAAAGTAATCSCCTCCCTTTGCAATGCACTTAAGTCAACGGATTTTCCAATCTTCGAAACACTGGTTGTAGTCACTTTCCGGGTTGGCCTTCAGTTCCGTCTTCGCTGCGGSTTGCATCTCCTCTATCGTATAAAAAACGGTGTGCTTCGTGAACAGCCAGAAGTCGCACGGCGCCAGATCAGTTGAATAGGGTGGTTGCGGAACGATATGGGTTGAGATTTTGGCAAAGTGATCAATTAATGCAAATTCGTTGCTCAACAAATTTCAACATCGCTAAAAACGAAAAACTCACTTTTAGTAGCTCACAAAACGACACGTATCTCAAACACTAATGAGTATTTTGACATGAAATTTGACATAAATGTGACTGACAGTACGACCAACCTAAAAAAAAAATAATTTTTCAAATCCTTCAACGCGCGCAGTTTACATTCAAATGTCACCTTATTTTTTTGGGTATGTTCTGTCTGAGAACTCGCATACCTATGTTGGACTAATAAGAARTAGGTATTTTAGAAAATGATCTACCAAAACTTTGTACGAAATCCYTTTTATTTGACAAGATATCTTCAGAAGATCATGGGAAATAGCAAAATGTTCTACGTTATCCACCGTGTCGTGGACAAGACTTTTAAGGCGTTACATGGGTTCGCGGGGTTTCAAAACATCTAATTTTTTATTATCTTATTTAATTCTACAACACCTCAAAAATATTGTCCTAAATTTTCAAGTTGATCTGAGTAATAGTTTCGGAGATACCTGAGAACTTGTACGCTAAGCTAGCTAGGCTAAAGGCGCCGTCTTTAAACGCGTTTTTCTCGAAACTGTGTTTTTGTAGTTGGTTGGTTGGCAAGTTTTCTCGAGAACTACTCAACCGATATTTACGAAATTTTAGACAGATCTTTGAGATAAAATTCTTAATGACTTGGACATAAGTGTTTTATATGAGAAGAAATTGCTGAAAAAAGGCTTTTTTTACCCGAGGAAAGCCATATAATCATTTAAGCTTTATGCAACATAATGCCTTTCAACCAGGGAAACATGCTCTTCATAAAAATTCATCAGCAGTGCGAAGTAAATGCCTAAAGAACCGAGTTAACATATTATAACTAAACTTTTTCAAGATTTTTTTGTATTATTTTATTTTAATAACTACTTGCTTTGGTAAGATTATTGAATGATTTATATTAAATTTATTTACTTCAAAAACTTATTTTTGTTTAAAAATTAAATAAAACGCCACTTTCACTATATTTCAACTTGTCATTAGAATTTATTTTGCCGTTTTCAATAATATTATATATATGTATATGGACTTATGTACATAATATGCATAACACTTGTACACACAACTGCATATGAGACGCTTTTTTGTTCATCTGTTCCTTACATTCATATCTGTCTCTTATACACATCTAGATGTGTATAAGAGACACTTTTTTGTGCATGTGTTCCTTACATTCGGAAATACATATGTACCTATGTATGTCTATGGGATGCCTATGCTATGCTGAATATTTAGTTCGAAGGCTATATTTGCTTACACGCTCAATATTTATTTACTTTACTCACTTATTTATTTATTGTTAAGCTTAAATAATCATATATAACTATAATTGTATTTTATTTGTGTGTTTGCTTGCTTATTTACATATGTTTGTTATTGTTTTTTTAGTTGTTATCGCGTTGTTTGAAGCGCTGATAAGCTTTGAATTTTATTTTTGTTTGCTTTTCTTATTTTTTGTTTAGTCTTTTTTTAAATTTTTTTTTTTCGTATTACTGTTTATTATGCAATATTGATTTTAATTGCCTAATTCTGTTATTAATATTCCGTGTTTATTACTCGTATAACTTAATAATATGGTGTTCTACTCCTCATTGTTTGTTTAATGTTTCATTGTTGTGAGCAAATTAGTATGCTAACTCACTAGAGTTACTGGAAAATATGGAATAATTATATTTTTTACAACTTCGTGTATTTTTGTTTGCAACTGCTTAAACTTTTTTCTATTGTATATACTAATATTCAAGTATTTTATTATTATTACTCACTATTGTATATTTATTTGTTTATTATATAATATATTTAATTATGTAAGTGTAACGCTGCACTTTACTAAACGCTAACTGTTTACTTTTATATTTTCTTTATGTTTTTTAATTTTCTATATTTTTTCTCATTATTTTTTTGCCTTTTTCCGCTTTACTAGAGTACAATGCTGTGTAATAATAATGTCATTCATTTGCATGCGCCTCATTGTCCGTGTGTTRAGAATCGTGTTCTGATTCTAAAGCAAGTGATTACTTTCCACTAAGTGATTGCTGTTTTCTTATTGTGTTTTCTATTGACGCCACTTGTTAACACAAAAACAAAATTACTAAAAGTAAAAGTATTGTTCGTTATAAAGCTGAGGTGTGCTATTGTTTAATAAAATATGGCAAAATAAAGATAGATTAACGTAACAAAAAATTTAAAAAAAATAATGCAGCAGCATTGTTTGCTTGTTTCGCTTATAGATTCTAGAAAATAGATCTTGTGCAATATATCATTATAATAAAAAATAATAAAACTTGAAAGGAAAAAGATAGAATTAATAGCACTTTAAAGCAAATTTCATTAAAAGTTTGATGTTTTATAAAACGAATAACAGTATAATCTTTTCAGGAGCTTGTTAAAACCTCTTTTTATGACTTTGATGGGTTTTCTATGTTTACTCAGACTGTCTGTTTACTCAAACTGCAAGAAGTTTATCTAACGCTATTTGCTAAGCACGATTTGACAATTTATGTTGAATAAAAAATAATTGAAAATTTTGAAATGTTGTCAGTAGTACAGAAAATTTAATTTAAGCAAGCTAGTCTTAAGGTCATAAGTAACTTGYCTGCAAATCACATTCGCACTTTGAAAATTCGTTTTCAGGAAAAACACGTTTACTGTTTTAAGTGAACTTATAGCTGATCTTCATTGCGCCTTTTTCAAGAATGTATCTCCTAAACTATTACTCTGAACAACWTGATAATTTAGGACAATATGCTAGATATGTTATTGAATTTGATAAGACAATAAAAATAATCGGTTTTTTAAATACATGAAACCCATGTAATCCCTTAAATAAGGCTGCCATCGAAGAGTTGTAGAAATCATATTATAAATGAAAATTGTTCAAGGAACATTAAAGATTCTCAACAGCTCTTATGGATCTCCTCAACATATACTGGTAGAAATTTACATATCTAACTTCGCACTTAAAATTTATACCAAATACTAAAATATTTTTTGGAAATACCAAGCCCTAAATAAGCAAGTGTTTTCAGAAGATTTAGCTCGTTGCAACACTTTTCCAGCTTCCGAGATTCATTTATCTATGAGAGAACTGTATTGACTAAAAAATAGCATTTAGATACTATAAATACAAATACAAATCTCATAAAATGCCGAACTTGATTCTCCTTATCGCATTTTTTCATAAAATGCTTGTACTCTTATGGACATAATAAGATTCCACCTTTATCATAGTAGTAGTAGTTTTGTGATGCGTTCTATTTAAACAGGTTTATCACAAAAAAATAGGAATCGTTTTATACAAAATAAGTAAGTGAAGGTACGAGTGGCAATACCAAGAATACTAATACTAAAATTTGAAAGAAGAATCTCAAGTTCAACACTTAACTATATAGTGTTGATCTGATGGATTTTTATGAAATTTTGTCCAAAATGAATAATTTAATGAAAGATTAACCATATACTGGTGGATACTAAAATAATATGCAGTAGAKCTCTAACCTACGTGATGATGGTAATGGTTCTATAGCTTAGCATAGACAAAATATTGGGTAGTCGAAGCGAATGGTAACAAGAGACGACTAGTGAAGCGCAACAAATAATCAAAAAGCAAGGATTGACGGCTCGAAAGGTTATGMTGAGTGTTTGATGGGATTGGAAAGGAAATGCTTCAGCCTAGTCAATGATTGATTCTACATTTTAATGTCAACAGCTGATGAGTTGGAGCAAGCAATCGAGAAAAACGGCCAMAACTGATCAACAGAAAAGGCTTCCATCAGGACAATTGATGAGTCGACAAAAACTGGGAGAGCTTGGCTGGGAAGTTTTGATGCATCTACCACATATTCGGMMAATGTAGAACTCCCTTAATGGAGTAAAGTTGGCTTCAGGAGAAGCCTGTGAAAATTCCTTTTCGCCAAGAAACCATAAAAGTTTTGCACTGATGGAATAATGTCTCTAGCGGAAAAAYSGCAAAAAGTGGTTGACCAAAAKG